GATTCTTCTTTAGGATAAGAAATAACCCCTTAGCTGTTTAAAGATAACTTACCTGCAGGACTGAGATTGTGGTTCAGTATCCATGCTGCCGACTTGATTATTTGCTAGTTATTTTACTTTTCTCAGTTGACTAATGTTTATAAAATTAAGACCTAGTTGAGTTGTTAGGACTTGGATTCCTGTTGTGGAATAGTGGAATAATTCAAAAGGAAAATAACTGGAACATGAGGACGTTTAAATTTTGCCCACATTTTTTGGAGCTGGGGCTCAGACGCATCTATGTTCTGTGGATAGTCGCTTCCCTAGGAGGTTATTACTTCATTCTCCAAAAATGTTCCAACTTTTGGAGATCCCTTATGTGTGAGTGCATATTCTGTTTTTTTTCCCGTTATCAGTGCAATCACTTATAATGCACTAGATACCGTTGTTGGCTCCCAGCTGCAGTCTTGCAAGAGGGAGCTTTCCTGTGACCCTTGGTTCTTTCCTGCAGCCAAAGCTGTTCTGATTCAAACTTGTCAAGAATAAAGATTTCTTGGCCCGGATACCACTGTACTGAGTCAGGGAGATAATCACCATGCTGATTCGTGTGGTTTAAGGGAGGGGGAAAAAAAAATCTTTATTAATCTTTGTCTGGAGAGGGAAAGGTAAGCCTCCTTTAATGTTGTAGACTGAAAAAAGGCAAAGGAAAAATGTTGTTACGGCTGTGTGGCTTGAGCATCCATCTCTTTAGCTCTCTCTGGATGCAGTTTTCTCTCTATTTTAGCTGTGTTACTTTTGATGATAATCTATCTGTCTATATATATGGCTCAGGTGGCCTTTGTACATATATTTTCTTAACTTTGGGGTAAGTGGAGAAGAAGCAGTCATTCGGTGGTTAATGAAGCAGTCAATAGGTGGTCCGAATGACTTATCTTTCTTAAAGTAACTCCCCCACTGAAATCTCGATCCTTCCTCCCCTGCCCACACTTGAGTTGTTCGTGGAGTTATTGGGCTTCGAGGTGGATATTGAAGTCTTGAGCTGCTTTGTGCTTAATTTTCCATCCCATGGGCTGATGACGTGCAGTCCGTAATAACGCTCCCCGTTTGTGTGTCTGTGGGAAAGCATGGGGATGAATTCACGCAGATGTACCCACCGCTTCAACAAGTTTGTGGCCTTGCTGTCTGCTCCTATCTGGTTTCTCTCCTGTTAGAATAAAAGGGCTGAGGAGTCTTTATCTCTGTCTGTCTTATGTTCTTCATTCCTTTAGCCTTTGTGGGGAGCGCTCTTCTGAAAGAAAAGGCCTATGGTACTCTTTCTAGCACAGTGTTTTCGGTTATTTCTTCTTCACTGTAAATATATTAATTATTGAATAAATACAAATGGCCTGGATCGACTTTTAGTTTGATCTGGTCAAGTCCAAGAGCTAAGTGCAAATGTATGTTCACAGTAGCCTTCCTAAAATGTAGCGCATCTGACTGAGAAAGCTGCTGTACAGGTACTGATTTTGTGACAATAACCCTGTACTGCGTGAATTGCGGTAGGAGTCAGAAAAGTGTGTTGAGAGTGACTCCCTTAAGTGTGGAGCACGGGTGTCTGGTGCAAGAGCGAGGAAGAAAAGATCCAATGAGCTGAAAAATAGTAGAACGTGACATCTCTCATCAGTGAGCATTCATCGTCTTTCCGAAGATGTTGCTTCTGGTGGTAGTAAATGGCAATAAAGAGCAATTGAGTGCTGCCAATTGGTCCGTTGAATAATTCAAAATAGTTTAAAAATGATGTAATTGGCTTAAAGATGCCTAATCAATCCATCTAATTGCTTCGAGATTCCTTGGGGCTTTCTCCTGATGGATTGAGTGGGTTTTCTGATGCGGTTGGTGCTGCCGTTTGTCGTCCGTTTGTCTGCGGAAGGTCGGTCGGCTTTGTAACGTTATGGCTTGGGGCTTTTGGTTTCCTTGCTGCGTCTCTGTTTCAGTGGGGCTTTTTTTCGAGCCGCTGATGCAAGGCGGCGGCGCATTGCCCTTTGCACTGACGTCTAGGTTAGTTGAAAAAGTAATGCAGTATGGAGACCTGATGGATTTGTGGAGCCGTTTCCGAATCCGCAAGTGACCCTGAGCTGGTCTGGAGGCGAGTGCCGCTACGCGAGCGGAAGACGGCGGGGGGGCTAACGGCCCTGCTTCGAAGCAGGGAGTAAACGTCTCCTGCGTTAGGGTTGGTGTGTGGTCCCGTGCCGTTTTTTCTTTCGCACTAATGGTTTGGAGAAATGGGTGGAGAGTATATCAATATATACTCTTGAGTGCTTGAAAAGACCAGAAATAATGTTAGGGGGGGGAAAAAAAAAAAAAGCCGCAATCACCGTGACTCTCGCAGGCAGAACTCTTCGTTTTAATCTTGCAAGCCGCGTCCCCCTCCGGGGCTTCACTGAGCGCCTCTGCAAAACGTCCCTTCAGAAAAGGGGTGAGGAAGGAGATGGCCTCTGCGAGGGGCCGGTTCGGTTCCTTGCCTGCTGTTCGCCCCGTGTGTGCCTGAACGGGGCATGGCACTCGCTTTTGCCTAGAGAAGAAGCGAAACCAGTGTTTGACCGATTTTTCCAGTCTCAGAATATACGCCAGGAGAGAGCGATGGAGGAGAAAATAAGATGTGGAAATTACTCTTTTTTTTCTAGCCCTTGCTAACTGGATGACAATTTTCTGTATTGCCCTGTTTCCTCGTAGAGGAACTGAGCTCTTCCAATGCAGCGCTAGAGTTTGGGGCTAAATACAGCGAAATTGCTCCCAGGCTTTCATGCGCTGCTCGCCGTTGAAGCGAATGAAGTAGCCTGCGTTATTTCAGCGTTAGGAGGGTGGCTGGCAGGCGTTTACTGTTGTTGCTCTCCAAGGAAATGGGGAAGTACCACTGGAAATGATGGGCAGATATGAAGAGCAACATCACCGGTAAATTAGAGCGTGTTTTGGTAGAGGTGCGGACTTCTGCCGCGGAGGTGGGTGGCTTTCAGCCGAAGGGAGGATAACGCGCGACGTGCTGGTGGTGACTGCCATGGTTGTCTACTTTATGCACCCCTTGGTTCTGACACTTGGGATTTAAAGCCTGAGTAAGTGGCGTGTTACGTGAGGAAATTGGAAATCCAGACGTTATAACTGCAGGACTGTATGTGCTGGGTAAGGCACAAAGTTATTCAAGAAGTGACCTCATTAACAGGCTTGCTGAATCTTTTAGCAATAAAGTGCTGCGGTTTATTATAGTGAGGGGAAAAGACAATCTTAAGAAAAAGTCTCCTGGCCCTAAATTGAAGCTGGAACTGATGTACGACATCCAGCTCCGTTAGTTCCACGTTAGTTAATTTTTGTTGGAGTGGCTCCTCTTTGGTCCTTCCCCTCCCAGGTCCCAGCGATGGTGGCACCCAGGCTCGCCAGATGGTGAACGTGAATTGCGCGTGGGTTCGATTGAAACGAATCACGGGGCTTTTTTGATGGAAACGAGTGTGTTACCCTCTGCTGCTGAAGTGTCTGCAGAGGGACTCCTTGCAGGAAAATAGTGTCTTCACATTGCTTTTAAACCATTGCAGCTTCTAAGACTCGATTAAGGTGTCTGGGGCAGATGGGGTTTGGTGGGTATGGGTGAGGGGCGTTACTGAAACGGCTGCTCAACTGCCACCCCAGGGATTTCTCTCCCCAAGACTGTGGGCCCATTGCAATTTAAGAAATGCTTAAAAAAAAAATCACAATAAAAGGGCAACTGGAGATAATTTACAAGCTCTTTTGGATGATCAAGTCTTTTGAGCAAGAAGAGTATCATCTCATTTCCCTGCCTTAACACAGAACAGAGGCTGCAGAAATTTGTATTACTTTTTGACCGTCTGTGAGAAATATTACAAGCTGATTGAACCAGATGAGGCTAACAGGGGTTGAACCTCACCAGGGATCCATGTATTGCTCTGAGAGTTTGGGAGGGGAAAAGAGCTGTCTTCAGGTCGAAAAAGGGCTGAGTTTTAAATGGTCGTTTAAGATAATGATCTGAGCAGTAATTACAGCCTGGAGGATTCCCTCAATCTCAGTAAACAGCAAAGTTGCATGAAGTTGCATGTAGCTGGCTTGTATTTGAAAGCAGCAGAGTAATAAGAATTCTATTCTATTAGCTTAATTTGGGAAAATTACAGCACCATGTTCTAGCTTTAAATGTTGATAACAGCAGAGTGTGAAACGGTCATGTGGGCTGCATGAGGAAGAGCCGTTGTTTTGCTGGAACTGCTGGCTGTGAAGCAAATGCCTCAGCATGGTGTAATCACACGGTTCTGGCTAACCCGACCATAATGCAACATAAACGCAATGGAAAATGAGGTACCGCACCGTCTCGCATATGTTTCCGCTGGTGATCCCTGACTCATGTCTTGCCTCTAGTTCATAACTGGACCGAGACAGGGTTTGTTCGTGATTTGTTTAAATTTGCACAGCAAGACGAGACCCAATTCTGGAACAGAATTACCGAATTTGCGGTTGTGCTCCTCACCCAGCAGCCGTGCCGGAAGGCACGAAGGATGCTCTGCAGAGACCCGAGGGCTCTCGCCTAGCCCAGCCTGTGTCATACCGTGTGGAGCATTGTCATTAGAAACATCAGATGGTGACTTGCATTCATTTTTGTGGGACTGTTGCTTTTTAAGCTGTTAATAAACAAAACGTATTCCATTTACGTTTTCTCCTTCCCAACTTTCTTGTCTAGACGTCTGCTAGAAGGAGAACTATGGAGCTTGTAACTAGTAGCAGCTGAGAGTTGCGCTTCCAAGGAGAAGAAAAACACCGATTCCGTGAAGCGCGGGATGGCTCTTAAGCAAAATAGAAAACAATTGCATTTTCTGATCAAAATCACAAGAATTATCAAAAATTGCTTTTGGACAGAGTCATTGTGAACTTGTTATCCAACTTGTGCCTTATCTATTGAGCTTGTATGGTTTTGTTTTGTTTTTTTTTTTATTGGATGTTGTTTTTCTACTGTGATGATTTTGTCCTTTTTTTTTTTTTTAATGCAGCTCCCCAGAGGAATTTTGAAATCGCCTTTAAGATGTTTGATCTGAATGGTGATGGTGAAGTGGACATGGAAGAGTTTGAGCAGGCAAGTTGAATGACGGATTGACCTCTTAAAACCACAGCATCTCGGTCATAACTGAGGCACTCCTGTGATGTTACTGTCACTGATATTTGTGGTTGCTGCTGGTTTATGATTTTTCCTTCTATGCTCTACTGTGCCTCAGTGCCTACTTTTTTTTTTTAACTGAATATTTCAACATGTAATTTCTCGTTTGACCAGGAGAACTGTAAGTATAAACTCCAGTTCCCTGTGACTTTGTCACAGATGTGTCTTTACAAGGTGTCACCTCCAAAGCACGTAAAGAAAATTTTTCTCTCTACCAGTATCAGAGGATTTTGACCCTCCTGTCATCCACAGCTTTTACTGTGCGTGTTATTTTTGTCATTAGAGTATAACCAGGCCTATTCTGCCTGGCAGAAGAATTTATCCATTTATTTCAATGTAGTCAAAAAGCATGTATGTATTGAGAGCGTATTTTCATCAGTTGCTTCCCGGGCTTCTTACAATGCTTTGCCACCAGTGACTTTGACTGATGCAAGGCTTTTGAAAAATAAACATCTCTTAGCCCACATATTTGACACGAGTGAGGAGCTCCTGCAAGCTAGGATTCATGACAGCATTAGGATGAGGATGGATTGAAGACTTGAGCTAGGAAAAAGCCTACCTCCGCTGGCCATCCCCAGGCACCCAGGCAGAAGCGTGGTGTTTTCCTGTATTGTAATTTAGGTAGAAAACAGCCTTAAGCAACTTAAGAAGTTGCCAAGTACTAGGAAAACTCCATACTTGTGCTACTTGTGGAAGAAAACGTAAACGCGTTTGCAAAGAGGTAACTTGCTATTTGGATGGGAAAGGGCTGAGCGAGGCACAGGAAAGGAGAGGAAAGGGAAGGGTGAGCTATTTGCTGTTCATCTGTTACTGCTAATTTCTACCGATGTGAAACAATGTCTTTTGTCTGCAATTTACTTGGCTGTTTTTCAAATGGATTTCATTTAGCTTCAAAACAATGCAGTTGAAGTAAAATATATTCAAAAGCATAATTAGCGTGTCAAGCTGTGATGTGACCTCAAGTATTTTCCAACCCCGCTACTCTAATATGAAGAGTCCCCAGAAAATACACCAGTGGTCCCCCTAAAATTTGGGGGGCCCCTGATGCTTTTTGGAGGAGCCCAGGGTATCTGAGAGCAGTGTTTAATGGGCACGTGGAAGCCGTTGCTTCTGTGCAAAGGCAGTGAGAGGCTGGTCAGAAAAATAACTGGCTCCCGCAGTTTTTATGCTGGAGGAAGAGCTGTCTCCTGATACCTGAGCACATAGCAGCTCTCGATGATCCAGTTATGATTTCTTCCTCGTAGGTTGATTGAATGACTCTTCACTTCAGGGGCACCTGTAAGAGGTCGTGCTTGGGGCATGTGCTGTAAATAGGAAGAACGGATGGCAAAGCGGGTGTGTTTGAATTTATTTCCCCTGCTCCCAGTCTTCTGTTGTTGTCCTTAAATTATTACCTGTGGGTTTGCTCCTGTTTATACTGGTTTGCTCCAGAGCTGTGTAATGTAGTTGGTAAACTGTGTGCTTGTAGGTGCAAACTTTGGACCATGAGGAGCCTAGAGTATGTTTACTTCCAACATGATATTACTTGTAATATAAACCTGTGAATTTATTCCTTGTCCTCCAAGCGCAAATCTGAATACAGAGTTTTGTCCAAGTTATTGTGCTGTTTGACGCTACCTCCCTAAAAAGCGCTGATTTAGCATTGGAAAAATTGGGTATCCTGTTTCCCCAGGTCAAGAATACTGTTCTTCCTCCATTTGCTTAATACGTAAACGTAAAGCTCCACCACAGCCACCTGATAATATTTAACAATTCCAAACGTGTTTTTACAGTAGTTACTATGTTCTACAAGTGAAATCAATTATGTAGATAAATGAATTTAAGAAAAATAGAAAATGGTTAATTGTCTACTAAAAATGCAGCGAAGCCAAGGTCTTAATGCAGGTGTCGTGTTTCGCTTTCTTATCTACATAGGTAAAGTAAGAAAACATTTTTGAGGATGAATGTTTTGAAAGTGCTCTGAAGATGGAAGAAGATGCAAAATTGAATTACGTAATCCCAAATCATCTGATAGGCAAAGGGAAGTTATATGTGTGTTAAGTCATACAAATCCTTAGGAGGAGGAACGTTTTTGTTAAGCTTGTTACATGTGTCACTGTGAATATAAAAGTATAAAGTTACTGTTTAGCATCAGCAATATTTTGATAAACACTAATTTAAAAAAAAAAACGTAGAACCTGAGCTTTCCAGTCAGAAGATGAAGAAGCTGTTTTGGAAAGTGAGAAGAAACCAGCCATATCGAAGTAAGAAGACCCATTTGAGAACACGAGCATCTTGTCTCAAGTGAATGGTCAAAGCAAATTGCTACCATCTGCTCTTTGCAGATACCAGCATTACTGATTGGAGGCACTTTGCAAACAGAATTAAAGCAAACGCATAGCTTCAGTGGGAGGCACGTATATATATTTTTTGTGTGTATAAACGCACACAGACACACAATCATTTATATATTAAATAATTTTTACACTGCTTTATGGAAATGCCCCAGTAAGAGAATGAAGAATGGCAGGATTTGAAGATCTCCCCTCTAAACGTCTTATCTGGCAGGGACAGCTAGAACTGGCCGTTTCTGGGGAAACATGCTCCTAAAGGAGGTGGCTTTAATTTAGAAAAGCAACATAATTTGGAGGGAGCATGGAAAGAAAAAGAAGGAAAGGAGGCTTGGCACGTGCTCTTCTCTAGAAGAATCATACAGTCTCTGCTGGCTGGAAGCTCGTGGGGATGAGCTCTCTGCTCCATTTCAACACGTTTTCTTTGGAGAGAGCCAACAACAGGTCTCTCTTGTCTCCCTAAGGTAGGGAGAAACTTTAAAGGGATTCATCATCAAGAAAGGAAATTACTTGCAGTAATTCCGCTAATATGCAGGTAAATCAGAGGCTTAATTACCTGGTAAGAAAATACTGGGTTTCTTGTGCCGAGACTGAAGAGTCTCGGGTGTTTTTCTTGATGCTTATAATCACAGTACAGCTCTAAATAGTTTGCCTCCATTGGTATCAGCTTTAATTTTTCATCCTCCAGCATGTTACCCATGAGTTACTAGCTTACTGCTCTATTTTTAATTAAAAAATGTTGGATGAAAAACAGTTAACTTGCGGCTTTACTTGTGATTTCTCTTCAAACCATTTTGTTTAACTTTTTTTTATTATTTTTATTTTTTTCTTGGCTGGTACAAAAGATGAAGCAAGTCCTAAACACTTGGTTTGGAATATGGGGAAAAGACCGTGAAGCATTTCTGCAGAATCGCTGCGTGATCGATAGGCGTGGGGAAAGAGAGCATTGGGGGGACTAGAGAAGGACTTTTTGCAGTGGTTGCCTGCGGTTTTTTTGTTGTTTTAGAAGAATTCCTTAAAATGAGAAGTGAGCAAATCGGCTTGCCTCCAGTGCCCCCGGACAGGTTTCCAAACTGCCTGATACTACTTATTTATGGGAAGGGAAACAGAGGGGCTCAGGCTTGACCGTGGTGTAAGATACCGTATATAATAACATCCGAGAAGACATGCTATTAACCGGTCTGCAGCCGGGTAAACAATCAGCTCTGCGGAAGGAGAGGCAATTTTCCAAGCCAGTCATAAACTGCATTGCTTCACGCAGGTTTTATAAATATTTTCCTCCAAAATGTGCATGCAGAACTCGCAGCTCAAGTGGAGCACACAACAGAATAAGGGGTTGCTATTTACGGTGCCATTGCAAACCAAAGGGCAAAATCCTTCCTCGCATTGTGGTGCATGTTTTAAGGCCAAAAAAAAAAAAAGAAAACAACCCCACACCTGTGGTGTTCTTGTTCTGCATTCTTCTTCTGCCTTGTCTTGTCTTCCTTTGCAATGCAAGAATAGCCCATAATGGCTAGCTCAGACAGTGTTTCGGGAGCGGTGAGGAGCAAAATGCTGTGCTCTCCTCTAGAGCCTTCTGGGGTTGTTTTGGGGCTCTTGTAGAGAAAAATTGAACTTGCCGTATACTGTGTTAACAAGGTTCTGGTGCCCTATTCAGAGCTAAAGCCTTTGGCAGCTGTCGTGTTGCTTTTCTTTCCTTCAGTTTTGGTCAGCGCGAGGAGGAGGAAGAGGCTGAAGGCAAAGCAGCAGCGTTTGGTTTCGCCTCAGAAAGGCTCTCGAACCGCCTTGCCGCGCGTGGCCGCCCTGCGCAGTCTTGCGGTGCCGAATGCTGGGCAGCATTTGGCAGAACTTTGGGAGGTTTTAGCAGAGTTTTAGCAGGGAAGGGCTGCTAGGATACTTGGGAAGTGGGGAGAGGAGATGAGTGTGTGTTTAGGTGAGCAAAGCGAAGGCCGAGAGCGGTGTAATTACCCTCAATATACACGCAGGAAGGAGAAATTTAATTGCAAGTTGGAGCTTAATGAGCTTGCGTAGGGATGGGGTGATGCATCTGCAGGTGCTGGGAGCCTGCACTGGGGCCACCGGGCTGCCCGAGCCCTGGCGCGGCGGCTCGCGAGGGCCTTTCCGCCGCACCGCTACCCCGGCGTGCCTCCGGCAGCGCTTCCGGGAGCTGCGATCTTGGGTCAGTTTTAGGATCTCTTCCTCCCCTGCCATCTTCGCAGGAGGAAATGCTGCGCCTCCTTCGCCCGGAGATCCCCTAACGCCTGTCTGACGTGAGCTGCGACTTGGGAAGGAGGCAGCGCGTCGCCAAAAGCTCGGGGCACGAGGCCGCCTCTCTTCCTTGCGTGGCTTATTCCAGCGCTGAGCAGCCAAACTGCTAAAACGTGCACCTTGCCTCAGCTGCCGTTTCTCTGCTTGCAGCTTCAAACTGTTGTTTTCCAGCTTTCCTGTGTGAGATGAGGACGCCTTTTACTCTCCAGTATTTTCTCCGCGTGAAGATGCGGATAGGGTGTAATCAAGCTGTCGTTCCCAGCCTCCCTCCTAGTAAATGAAGCAGGTTGAGCTGTGGGAGACCGTGACCGAGGTGTCCTTTTTCAGCGCCGCAATAAATGTGGTGGCTCTCCTTTGCAAGCTCCAGTCCTTTTTAAAGACAGGGCTGTATACAACATCCGAATATCGATCTCCGCAGCCTCTCCCTGCCCGTGGCTCCCCACCTTCTGAGCGTTTTATGTAGCCTCTCAGCCACAGCGCTGAGCCGTGCGCTGTCGTCGAGCGGTTGGTTTGATTGCCTGGGTCTTTCTCGGAGCAGGGCTTCTGCAAAATACAGTTGTTACGGTGTTTGGTTTCGCACTGCCCTGCATTCATGCAAATATGTATGATCTCAAGTCTGCTGGTAACTCGGATATTTTCCACGTTATTTGTTCTTCTGCTGACACTTCAGCTGGGCTTTTAGTTGGGCCAGTTGTGGTCTATGGGATTTCTGAGGAGCCCGTTGGTCAGCCTTTAGCGCAGCTTGCAGCACAGTCTGTGGGACAGAGCAGCTTAAATCCCGTCGCAGAAGGTATCAGAGAGCAAATGTGAGAATGCGCTTACGCAGAAAACCTGTTTCTCTGTGTAAGTGGAAAAGATACACTGTGTGAGCTATCTAGAGCTGGTGTGCACCAACAAAGAAGTGCAGTCAATAGAGGAAGAGAGTTGAAGTAGAGGATAGAAATTAATATAGAAAATGGGTCAATTTTGCAAAAGGATCTGTCAAATAGTGTTGCAAGAACTTAGATCCGGGGGTGATACGTGTGCTGTTTTCTTGGTGTCTCTTTAGCACGAGCATCAGCAGTGCTTGGGAAGGGTTTGTCGGAGATGGTGATGCTCTTGCTGGCGGGGGCGTGAAGTTGGGTAGAGCACTGTGTTGGCACGTCTAGGTGTTGGCAGCTGCGTCGTCTGCACAGCCCAAATCTGAGCCAGGTCAGCCCAGAGCAGCTCATTCATTGTATTTGGCATGCTTTGGGCTCTTACTTGCTGCTGCAGAAAGCAAAACCTCTAAAACATGCCGCTGCTTCCCCACTGGTGCCTTCACTGAGAACTTCACTGCTCTCTGCTGACCAGGCGTAGCATCAGCTCTAAAATGGGTATTTGCAAACCAGGTGAACTGTTTGGTAAAACTTAATTTAAGCGCTTTCTACTCCTTTTTTTTAAAGGACCAAAAAACTCCAAATCCTCAGTTGAGCCAAGTTTTTAGATTGTGGTGTCCTTTGAGAATTACTTATTTCAGCCAAAAAAAAAAGAAAAGCAACAACAACAACCGAACAAAAAAAAAAAACAGAGGATGGTCCAGGGTAACACATGGCTGAACTGGCATAATTCATAATGAAACTTGGTTAGCCCAAGCCCTAGTAGTACTTTTTTGATGCTAATGCCTTCCCTCTTATTTTTAGGTGCAGAGCATCATTCGCTCCCAAACCAGCATGGGCATGCGCCACAGAGACCGCTCCACAACTGGAAACACCCTGAAAACTGGGTTCAGCTCTGCCCTGACGACATACTTCTTCGGAGCTGATCTGAAAGGGAAGCTCACCATCTCTCACTTCTTAGATTTCCAGCGCAAACTTCAGCATGATATTCTGAAGCTCGAGGTTTGTATTCTTGCATGTGGGAAGAGGGTGGTACAAAGCAGACCGTGCTGTTTGAGACCTGCTGTGTTTCTGCATCATGCGGCCTGAAACCTGGTTTCTTAAGGATGAAGCAAGAACAGAAGGGGGTTTGGAGAGTATTACTGCACCTGCGGTTCATAGCACTTGCGTCCTATCAGCTCTGCTGTTGAATTTCTGATGAGCATCTTGGTCCCCAGCACCATCCCCAGCTTTTCTTTGTAGCTGCTCTTGCTGAGCTGTGGCAGAGGCTGGCAGGTCCCAGGCATCTTTCCCTCTACTCTGCCTTGGTGCTGCTTATGGAGATGATTACGAGATGCTTCAGAAAAGGACCAAAGGAGTTATGAGTTGGGTCTGTGCCTAACTTATCTTAAGAAAGTTTGTCTCAGGTGGCTTTTCCCTTGAAGGATGAGGGTTTATTACCTTTGCAAAACTCCTGGTGTGCTTTTTTTCCCCCGTTTATTTGTTTATTATTCTGAATGTTTCTGCTACATGAGTGTTCAAGCCGCCTTTGAATCCTGCTAAACGTATGGTCTGTGTTATGTGACCTCCGTTATACGTTCTTGGGTTAACGTACGTTATGTGAAATTTTGGGCATCTGTTTTGAACCCTCTTCCTTTCTGTTAGATTGAATGTCTCTGGTTTTCTTTGTGTTACTATGAGTTAACAGAAGCTCCCAGTCTCCTCCTTCTAGTCACGCATCCTGGATTTAAGCATTAAGCTTCAAAATTTTCTTTTTTTGATTAAAGGGAATACAAAAATAGCAATAGGGAGTTTCTTGATCTCTCTCTCTCTCTCAGCTCCCAAGTAGAATTGCCTTAGTTTAAAACACTGTCGTCCTTGATAGAAAGCTTGCCCATTGGACTGGGCTTGATCAAAAACTGGTTCTTTTATTTGTCAGGAGTGAGGATTTTGTGCACAAAAAGAACTCCTCACAACCTGTTAAGACAGTAGTTGGAGTTCACTAATGCTTTTGTCTGATGTAGGAATGTACTTATGGTCAGTTTGTGCAATTTAGCTAACGAGCAGTATCTTGCTAAGTTGCTGTAACTCAGTCACTTGGAACCTGGTAACCGTAACCTGAATTTATCCCCTTTGTGATTTGTAGTTTTACTAAGGTGACTCACTTAAGGACTAATTCTTTATTATTGTTCAGTTAAGTGATTTCACCTAACTTTGTTAAACAGAGTCAGGGATCTGACTATGCATTTGCATGGGGAATAAGTTGGTGAGGCAAGATGTTCTGCACAGACTGGAGCGTGTCTACTCAGTGTTTCTGCACATTGAGAATGAATGAAATAATTGTTAAGGTTAAAAGACATAAGATGAAATTCAAACTAGAAGGGAAGAGAAAGGCTATTCCATCCTCTGTTGTCAGCTTGTTCTGTTTTCCCGCGTCCGTTTTTTCACTCCGAGGTCAGGCAAAGAGCGGGCACTGAAGTTTCCAGCCCTGTGCTGGAGTCGTATGCTCCTTCCATGGGTTTCCACTTATCTAATAACGAAGCAATAGGGTTATTTGGTTTCATGGTACCTCTTCTTCCTTTTCCTTCTGCAGCAGTTGAGTCCTAATTCAGTTCTTAATGATTTTAAGTCAACCGTGATTCTCTCTGGTGTATATTAGTTGCCTTTCTAGCTGTTGCTCACAAGTTATTTGTTAATTGAGGTACAGTGCAAAAAAGGTTTACTTACTGGTAAGTTAATGACTATCATAAATGCATAGTTATTGAATGAACAACAGCACACTTGAACGTGGTTCGTGCTATGGTTAGCATTTCTGATACTCTTTTCATCTGTAAATTGACCTATGCCAAGAGAATAGTTCTGCCAAAATCGTGGTTTTTTTGAGTTCATGATATTACAGCGCCTGACTTTGGA